CGGGCGCGGCCAGGCGACAGGAGAGCGCGGGAGCTCCGTCGGCCCCCGTCGCGGTCAATGCGCAGGCGCGGAGCCCCGCAGGGGCCGCTGGGAAATGTGGTTCACCTAGGCCCAGGTGCTGCTCAGGGGCGAGGGGCGGGGTTTGCGGGCATTCCTCTGAAAGATCTGAGCCTCTTCACCAACTTTCAAGTGACCGAGTCGCTACTGTTTCAGGCACGATACTCTTTTTTCAACAACTTGCTCACAGACCCCAGATTAGACGTAAGGTGATATGGTACTACAAATAATGACGGTTTCATTCCGAGTGCCCAGTATTTGTTTCTTCTGCGGCAAACCTGAGTTTATTTCCATTTGGAAGTTTTAAATTCCTATTTTCAAATATTTAGGTTTACTCATTTTGAGGAATTATACATTGCTGCTACAAGCTGGAACCTCTATTGGAAGGTATCTGTGATACTCCGTCATATGTTTATTGCAATAAATATTGAGGGTCTGACACTCCATCACATAATGAGAAGTTAATTACATTTTGCAACACATTTATTGAGGGTCCTCTAAGCAGGAACTGAGACCTACCTGCCAACACCCTACCTCACCCCATTCCCCAATTTTATTTTATTTATTTTTGGTTTTTTGAGACAGGGTCTCACTGTATAGTTCAGGCTGGCTTGGAACTCACTGTAGAGTCCAGAGTGGCCTCAAACTCTCGTGATCCTCCTGCTTCGGCTCCTGAGTGCTGGGATTGCAGGTGCGCACCACCATGCCTGGCTCCCCAGTTTTAACTAGAGAGAGAAAAAGAAGATGTAGTATTTACACACAATGGAGTACTACACTGCCACGAAGATGGATGAACGTGACTCGTGGAAAAACCATAATGAGACCGTAATGTTAACTGAAATACATCAGACGCATGAGCTTAAACATCAAAGGCTGTCTCTTAAATGAGAAGCCCAAAGTATAAGTGATTTAAAGAGCAAAATAAAGATAGATAATAGTACAGAGACAAATCTTCTGCAAATGCGAAGGAAACCAAGAGATGGAGGGAGGGGGTAAAAGCAGAGGGCTGGGGGAAGTAAAAGGAATTAAGATATGTTATGTACTTGTACCAACTCTCCACAATGAATGCAATCATTATGCATGGCAAACCTGCTAATTTTTAAAAACACCTAGGAAAATGCTACCTGGTTTGGGCTGATCTTGAATAAACTAGGTAGCCCAGGTGGCCTTGAATTTGCAGCCTCTGCCTCCTGAGTGATGGGATTACAGGTGTGTTTCACCTTGCCTGCTGCACTGTAAAGACTTACTAATGAAGCTGGGCATGGTGGCGCACACTTGTAATCCCAGCACTTGGGAGGCTGAGGCAGGAGGATCACTGTGAGTTCAAGACCAGCCTGGGCTACATAATGAGTTCCAGGTCAGTCTCAACTACATAGTGAGACACACACACACACACACACACACACACACTCACAGACTTACTAATGAAAACCTTGTGTGTACTACCACAAGAGTAAGCAGACAATCCAGAAATAGATTAGAAGCATCAAGAAAGAGATGAAGGTACACATGGAACTTCAGTGTAAGATAAAGGTAGAGTCTCAAATCACTATGGAAAAGACATACTTACATGGGGCCAGGGATTTAGCTCAGTGGTTCCGCTGCTTGTCTTGCAAGTGCAAGGTCCTGAGTTTGATCTCCAGTACCAAAAATGGATAGATTTACATGAAAGTACTTAGTCATTTTGGTTTTCAAATTTTTTTCTATTTTATTTTTGAGATGGGTTCTCATTATATAGTTTAGACTGGCCTTGACCTCTCTATGTAACCCAGGCTGGCCTCAAACTTGTGGCAATCCTCCTGCCTCGGCCTCCCAAGTGCTGGGATCACAGGTGTGCACCACCACATCAGGCACATAACACATTTTGATTCTTTTGATGACCCTTTCACTTGCCCTCTGTCACCTCTCCCTGCATCTCTTGGTCCCCTTACTGGTTTTTCTCATTTTATGAGAAAAAAGTTAAAATAGAAGATCTCATTGCTGATTCTTTCCTGTCTTCAAGGGAACACAGAAGAATGATCAATGCATGATCAACTCCTGGGAAAATGGTGCTGAGCTTTTTAATTTTATTATTATTATTTTTTTGTGTGTGTGGTACCAGAATCAAACTTGGATCCTTGCACTTGTGAGGCAGGCACCAGAACCCCTGAGCTAAATCCCCGGCCCCTGAGCTTTTTTGTTTTAATACCAGTGAGTGACGATTTTGCCACACACCCCTGGAGCGATGGACCACACTGTGCTTGTCGGATTGCTTTGTACAAATATCAAGATTGATGACGTTCACACCTGGTTTCACTGTTGAAGGCTCAGGCTTTGTTTGCCGCAGGTGGCTGTGGGTCAGGGCTTGTCATGCATGGGTCAGTGATCCCCTCCATAAAGTTCTTAGAATCTAAAGTATAACAAGATTCTCTGGCCAGGGACGTGCCACATATGTTTTTGCAGCTAAAGAAAGTATGTTGTGTGTGGCCCTGGATGAGAGAGATGCAGGAGCCTGGCTCCAGCCTCCCGGGACTCTGCCGATGTATTTTCTGCTGCTCTTGCTCTGCGTCCTTGGCTATAATAAACCTCAGCCTTGAGTCTTGATATAGCTGTTTATTAACGTATAAATTCAGTGCTGGGATGTAGCTCAATGCAGAGTGCTTCTCCAGCATGAACAAGGCTCTGGGTTCAATTCATCCTTTTAGAATGTAATATGAAATATGGCTGTTTTATAAAACCAGGGAGAAAAATAAAATTATTTTTACTCAAAAAATGTGTATTTGATTTATATTTATTATACTAAATTCACAACTTATCAATATACAGCATTTGCTCCCTTTTGTGGTACTAGGGATTGAACTCAGGGCCATTGCACTGAGCTACATTTTCAGCCCCTTTTCTGCTTTTTATTTTGAGACAGGGTCCAGTCAATGTGCTAAATTGCCCAGGTTGCCTCTTAAACTTTCCATCCTCCCCAGATGTAAACCTTTCTTTAAAAACTAAGAGAGAGGGCCACGGATATAGCTGAGTGATGCTGTGCCTTTCTGGCAAGCGCAAGGGCCTGAATTTGATCCCCAGTACCAACAAAAACCAAGAGGGAGGAAGGGTAGGGGAAGGAAAGAAGGGAAAAGAAAAAATATGAGAGGGCTGGGGATTTAGCTCAGGGGTTCCGCTGCCTGCCTCGCAAGTGCAAGGGCCAGAGCTCCATCCCTGGTACCAAAAAATAAAAAATAAAAAAAATAAAAAAATAAGAGAGAGAGAAAAGGAAAAAATGGAAACAAAGTCTTCATAAATAGGGGAGGTTGGAGGGGATGAAGGGAGGGCAGGGGTATGGGGAAAAAATAAGAACCAAGATACATGATGTAAAGGTACAAGATCCCAAGGATGAATGTAACTGTACTGTATACCTAAAAGGTACCAATAAACTCAATGAGGAAAAAAAAACTAAGAGGGAAAGATAACCTCCTTATATAAAGACTCATTTCAAAAATATGAGAAGACATTTCTGAACCCTAATGAGTAGAGGAGAAGTATAAAATAACATGATACTGAGATTACTGGGCTCTGGTTAGCACACATAGACACCAAAACACAGAGCTATAATACTACTGCAAAGCCTTTGAAAGCTGTTGATGAAGGAATAGAGAACGTGGGTAGAACAGGTGGCTTAAATTTAACTGAGTCAAGGGCTGGGGATTTAGCTCAGTGGTTCGGTGGCCTGCCTTGCAAGTGCAAAGACCCGAGTTCAATCCCACGAAAAAAAAAAAAAAAAAAAAAAAAAAGAAATTTAACTGAGTCAATTCTGTGATAAAATTTCAAAACTCTCCATTCCCCATGGAATTTAAACTGGACTCAGAGACAAATAATGTAATGTGTAATGTTTAAAATGCAAGAATACAATCCTAAACTATTCCATATTTGAAGAGCTAAGAAAATCTCAAGGGAAAAAGTAACCAACAGACTCCAAAAAAAGAAACAGCAGCTGTTTTTTTGTATTTGGTTGTTTATTTTGTGTTGCTGGGATCAAACCCAAAGCCTTGCACATGCTAGAGAAGTACTATACCGTATTCCCAGGCAGAAATGATAGTTGTTGGAATTATCAGACAAAAACTTTAAAATAGCTATTATAGATGCTCTAAGGAAGGGCCGGGGATTTAGTTCAGTGGTGCCAATGCCTGCCTAGCAAGCATAAGGTCCTGAGTTAGATCCCTGGTCTCTCCACCCACAAAAAAAATCTCCAAGGAGTAAGACAGCAGGGCATGGTGGCACAACTGTAATCTCAGCATTTGGGAGTCTGAGGCATGAGGATCATGACAAGTTTGGAGCCAGCCTGGACTATGTAAGTAGTAAATTCAAGGCCAGCCTGAACTACATATAGAGGTTCTGCCCCACCCTCCAAAAAAAGAGTGCTTTTTTTTTTTTTTTTTTTTTTTTTGAGACAAGGTCTCCCTATACGGTTCAGCCTGGTCTTGAATTCACTATAAAGCTCAAACTGGCCTTGAACTCTCATGATCCTCCTGCATTAGCCTCTCAAGTGCTGGGATTACAGGTGTGTGTCACTATGCCCAACCTAAGAAACAAAATTCTTTTTTTTTTTTTTGGTACTGGGGATCAAACTCAGGTCCTTGAGCTTGCGAGGCAGGCGGTAGAACCACTGAGCCAAATCCCCAGCCCTGAAACAAAACTCTTGAAGTGAACTGAAATATAGAAAATGTAACAGAGAGGTAGCAGACATTAAAAAATCAAAATGGAACTAGGTATGGCAGTGCATACCTATAATCCCTGCACTCAAGAGGCTGAGGCAGGAGGATCATTGTGAGCTCAAGGCTAGCCTGGGCTACATAGTGACTTTGAGACCAGCCCGAAGTACACAGCGAGATTCTGTCTCAACAAAACAACAGCAACAACAAAATCAAAATGGAAATTTAGAATTGAAAAATATGATCACAGAAATTTTAAAATCATGCATTGGGTTTTTCTGTCCCTAAAAAGAAACAATAGACATGCTTCCCTTAGTCTTACCATTAAGTACAACTAAACCCTGGACATTATACAGAAAGCAAATGTAAGGTATCTCTGAAAGATGGGAAGAAAATGACAAATTGTTCAAGCTTCACTATGCCAAGAATAACAGTAATGTTTTTTGTTTTTGATACCAGGGATCAAACTCAGGATCTTGCACTTGCAAGGCAGGTAGTGGCACCACTGAGCTAAATCCCCAACCCATCGGTAATGTATTTCTTGAATTTGCTTTTTTGTTCACATATACCAGACTTTGACTTGAAAAAGCTAGCAACCAATAAATGCCTTGGGGCATAGACAAAGCAAAAACAAAAACAAAATAAACAACAAAAAATAAAACAATAGCCTGCTCTCTCTAGCCAAACAATCTAAAAAGGAACAGCCTAGTAAACCAAGGAAGGTGGAAAATTTCCAGATAACAATCATCAATGCTAGTCAAGGACCACAAAAGACAAACAAACTAAACTAAACAAATGAAACCCTATAAACACACAGTTTGTGGGCTGGAGATTTAGCTCAGTGGTTCTGGTGCTTACCTTGCAAGCTCAAGGACCTGAGTTCAATCCCAAGTACCACACACACACACACACACACACACACACACACACACAAAAACCCACACAGTTTAATGAGATGTAGAGTTTCATGACAATATATAAATGTTCAGGTTTCCATTTAAAAAAAAATCACTGTAATGCTGAGAACCAGGATGTTCTCAAATGAAAAAAGAAAATGCCAGCACAGAGATGACAAAATTGTAAGAACTCTTTGCCCACACTTTAAGGTAATCATGGTGAAAATGCTTCAACAAGTAATCACAAATTCACCTAAAACAAATGAAAAAACAGAAACTCTCAAAAAAGAAGTAGAAGATGTCACAAAGAACCATGAGGAAATTTTAGAAGAGAAATATATTATAATTGAAATAAAAAGTTCAGAGGAAGCTGGGCGTGGTGGCGCATGCCTGTAATCCCAGCACTCCAGAGGTTGAGGCAGAAAGATTGTAAAATTGAGAAATTGAGGCCAGCTTGGGTAACTTGTTTCTTTCTTTCTTTTTTCTTTTTTTTTTTTTTTTTTTTTTTTTTTTTGAGATGGGGTCTTATTATGTAGTTGAGACTAACCTGGAACTTACTATGTAGCCCAGGCTGGTCTCGAACTCACAGTGATCTTCCTGCCTCAGTCTCCTGAGTGCTGGGATTACAGACGTGCGCCACCACACCCGGCTAACTTCAGTTTCTTGCTGAGACTCTATGTGAAAACAA